GTTTCCAGAGCAATAAAATCTTGACCGTGGAGTCAATTACGCCGAAGAATTATTTTCGAAGTTTATACCACATAATAATGCACCTTAGTTTCGGGAATGTTTAAGTGCATCTTGGTAATGTAATATATACGGTAAAATATTGTTCCGTGGTAGTTCTAAAATGTTATTGAATGAAATGAGGGCGTAAATCCCGCGTTAACAATAACCTATTTACTGATGGTTTTCAAATCTTTAACACATGCGAGCAAGCTAACCATAGTACACAAAACACATAAACGACGTACTCAGCATTGTGCTTGAAATTGCCGGCAACCATCGTGAGCTTTCAAGCAGTAATTGCGCGTTCATTTTATCTGTCCCCAATCCCAACGTCTGTATCAGGTTTTCGTCATACACTCTCAACAAATTCAAGGGGTCTTTTTTGTTCGGACAATTTTCGAAAACTGAATTTAGAAGAAAAAATGTGCGTTTTGCCTTCCTTTTGTGCCAGTCATCTCTCATCGCTCGCCGCAAAATATGATATCGTTCTCTGAACGAGCTGTTCTACAGTACTATGCGGTAGTGTGTCGTAATTTGTTCGTTGAAATTGAAATATCTAAACCCTAGACTGTCTGTACTTCTTGCCAAATCGAGATGAGAAGCTCCATTTTTCTATATACGGAAAAACGTCTCGACTTAAAGTGAATATGATCATTACAATTAAATTTACCACCAATCGAAAATTGTCTGGGAATATCTAACGGGCAAAACTGTGGTTCGAAAGTTTTCAAATGCATTTGTCCAAAGACTGCGAAGCAAACATTATCATTCGCATAAACAAAAAAGCACAACAGATTAATTTGATGCTATAATCTACAAAATCTCACAACAATAATAGTAATAAGAATAACAATGTACAAGCCTCAATAGACATTAATTCATATTACCTTTGCCAGTTGCATCAATGCCTAACAGGGCCGCATTTCAGTTGTGCCCTACGCCTTATTGTCGTGATGTTTAATTTTGCAATGAAGGTCAAGTTTAAAAGCACCTTGATATAAACAATTGGATATTAAAGTGGAGACGCATTATTCAACGCGCTTAAAAAATAATTGAATAATTTTGCAGCGCCTTCAAAAATTGTTTTTTATTCGAGCAGAGCAAATTTTGGAATTTTTTGCAGCCTAACTGGTTTAAGATCTTGCCATGAAGTTAACATGCCCGATCCGTAAAATAATTGCGGTTCGCTGCTTCAGAATATATCATCCAATATAATTTTTATTCTTGGAATTTCGCAAGAAATTCAAATGTCCCTAGTAGTGGATTTCAGACTAATTCGGGTAGTCTGTTTTCTTCGAATATTTCGAAAAAACTATCAACGAAGTATTTTTCCATTTTAATACACAAGGAATGATTCACCAACTTGTCTGAACACTGATCCTATAGAGGCAAATGTACTCAAGTGCGAAGTAAGGAAAAAATCGAGTTTTCAAACCGCGGGTCTTTGGAAAAGAAAGAAGTCTATCTGCACCTATATAACCTACGTCTGCTATGTTGATGCTCTGAAAATCTTCGAACATTTTATAAAGAAAAGTCTTCGCTCTTTAATATAGGCATGTCAGGTAACGCTCGAGACCTTACTTTTTTCTCCTTATTCTGTTAATTTCTTCTATACGGCTTTAATCTCTTCACATAGAGTTTATGTTAAAGAAATTGTTGCTGAATGGATGAGTTAGTCAATACCCTGTGGTCTAATCACCTTTCCCTTCATTTGGATCATCGCGCCCTCCTCCTCCTTTCACACCACCAAGCACTAAAGGCGTTGTGCCACACTTTTGTCTGTTGTGTTATTCAGGAACCATAATCTGCTGGATGGCCATAGCAAAGCGATCGTGACAGCACGTAAATCAATGAAGGAGAGTGAAGCCTCTGGCGTAAGCTGCACGAGGCCAAATGAAACCCGAGATATTCGGAAATGGCTAGGAAGGGATCTGAAACTGCATACGGTGTCCTGAAGTACCTCACATCTACAGCTGAGGTACTCGACAATTCCTTCAGAACACATTATTGAATAAATTCGCGTTTTAGATAAGACCACCTCAAATGACAGAAGCAATGCCCGAATTGGACGCAAAAGCAATGCCATCCTTCAGGAAGCGATAACCCAATACACAACGAAGCAACACAGATAACTGAAACCGAAAGTTGCAGCCACCGTAATCTTATACAAACATTTTTGTCGACAATTAGATGACAGGCTCTAACACAGGAGTAAAAAAGAACCACATATCAAACCAAGTGCGTGTTATGAGATCTGTTCATTCTTGTTCTCTATTTGCAACGGTTTAGGACTAAATTCCTCTCCTTTGTTGCCGCCACGACGATACCAGGGAGATCCCATTGCCACAGAATTTTGAGGACAGAGATGTGCGGACTTTCTTGGAGGATTTCAAGCAGGTTGCGGAGGCTGCTTGACTGCAGACCAACCGGCGTATTTGGCGGTGCTAAAGACCATCCTCTGAGGCCGGGCCAAGGTGACCCTGGACGCGGCCAAAAATAGAGCTCAAATGTTGGGCTAAGCCACCGCGAAGAATGCTTTTTTAAGCGGCGTTTGACATACTGGCCAAACACCAGAAGGCTATGAACCAGTTTGAGATGGCCAGCAAAATAAAACTTTGGATTACTCCTCTTTTCACGGATGGGTTGCAAGGAACGCAATGCCACGGACTACCACACAGGACATTATCCAAATCGGTAGAAAGAAGGAGGTTTGCCTGATGTATAGAGGAGCGGGAGTATCGCTGAGGCGGAGAGTGAATCAAGGTGAATGCAACCGTGCTTGTTAGCCATACGAGCAGGAATTGAGAACCTAGTGACAATTGATGTTTTGTCAATTCGCTCAATGAGCCTAGGTGACAACTCCGTGCATCAAGCGTTTTTTATCAGCCCAGACATAGAGCAGGCAATATCGAGGGTAGATTTTCGCAAAAGCACAGATTCCGTGGTTAACCTAGAGCAGGAAAAGCTGGTGACAAGGTATGGCACAGTCAAGCTTGGAGGTTGCCCGAGCACTACCGTGAGCAAGCGAAATATTCCAAAGCTTCCGTGTTGGACCGTGCCGTCAGTACTGTCCTTGGTCAAGAAATGTCCACGGGTGATGAAAATCCGTTTGGGTTCCACCCGTGGATTTGATAAGACATTCTCCTCTCTTCCGAATGCTTTCGATCTTATGGCTCCCATTCGCTACTGATTCATATATGGGAGGATGTACATCAACAAGTTCAAGAAATTTTGAAAAATGACAGTCGGCGAAGCCAATAGTGCATACAACTTCCAGGTTGTGCTCGTAAGGCAAGCAAACGAAAAACGGGTTTTGCGTGCATTTCCGGCGCCTGAATGAATTGACCCTAAATCGGGTTGTGGCTGTCCCTCCGGCTGAGGACTTTTTCGATCAACTCCCGAATCCCCGTTATTTCAAGGTGTTTTGGACGCTGCTAACTATCTATCACGGTAGAGAACCAGGAACAACGGCGTTTATGGTTGGAAGGTCACGCAAGCACCTTTGGGTGCTAATGTAATCTCCCTGCCTGCTCCCTGCCGGAATGACGAGTCGGCGGTGAAAGCAAGTTTATCGCCGGAAAAATATATAATAACTTAGCAGCAATGCTTTGTTCTCGGTCTTGTGTGCCTGGAGGAAATCGTGACAGACAGGACATAGATATATTTTTCTACTCACCAGTATTAATTTTTGAAAGTTTTCTAAACAATTTGCGTACCCTTTGTAGCAAGATATATCTTATTGACACGGGCAATCCCCATCATCATCATGTCAACTGAAATGAATCAGTCAGCGTCCAACCGACTAATTTATTGGTATCGACCATTACAACAGATACACCCCTTTTTGAGATGATCCCTCATGACGAGCCTGGTTTACTTTTGTAGCAATTAACTGATGAGGCATCTTTCTTGTTGTGAACGGAGTACTAGGTGAATAAAAAAGGTTGGAAACGCTCTTCTTTGCACCTCACATGGGATTTAGGAATTGGGTCGAGTGAGTCTCGCTGCATACTTTTTTGCCTCATGATCTTGACACCTGCATTCGTTCTGCATCTCATCACACATGTCAAGCTTCTTGAGGATGACAAAACATACCTTAACGACAATTTTGTTCTAAGTCACGCTGTTTTTTCCAGACCTCATTACTCAGCAAATACATCGATAACCGCTAGCTACCTGAAGCATGCTATGCCAGTTCATTGAAAACCTTGTAAGCATTTAAAATAACCGCTTTAACAAAAATTTAAATTGTCTTCCTTTGGTCCCCCACGTTCCGTGTGGTAGGACGTTATCAAATTCGGTAAATTCACACGACGTTGCGAACCCAACTTTCTGACGTAAGAAATGTATCACACCAATATATGACATACTGAAAGCCTCAACAAGAATCTAATATTGCACTGAAATTATTTATGTCACATATACTATAATTAAGCGAAAAATGCCGATTGAGCAAGATGTAGTTAAATATATTGCTCTGCAAAAATAGTGACATGGCATCAAACCCAACCTAAACAAGCAACTTGATTCCACGCACAAACGTTACCGACAAACCATGCACGTCCCAGAATTGATTTCCACCTACATAAAATTTACAAGCAGCCTTCAGCTAATCACTCAACCAGCCTCCTACTGAAACTAAACGTGCGACCTGCACTAACCACTGGTGTCATTGTAACACCACCTTTGACAAATTTATTCGAGTGAGCTTGTTTGACGAGCAAGGGTGTCATAACCTCCAAAAGAACCAACACATGCATGACAAGCAAGTATTTACGACCTTCTCTTCAATGGCAGGATATTTTCAGTGGTCAAGGTAACGGAAAGCAAAGTATTAAAAGAACAAACCGAATCATAATCCGCAACCTTACTGTAAACTCTTTCCGGATGCACATGTTAGTAAGCGCTTTGCGACAAATGAAGATACATGCCGGCAAAAGTAAGCATTGAAATTTAGAAAATCATTGAAATATGACTGCGGCGTTTGGAAGCGCGGTTCGAAGCCCATCACAAATACAACCACTGGATGGTGGTCGTTGGCTTGTTCGCTGAGCTGGGCAATTTGATTGCAAACGTTTCATCACCAATCGAGGTGACATCATCAGTGCGTTATTGTGGAGCGTAGTAGTGCGTAGCGGTGGGTTGGTGGTTGTGCACTGGATGTTACGATAAGCACTTTTAATTTTTGGTGAATGCGAGTAATCCATAGCCAGTGGATATGCCGGAAACGATGACGGCCACATCAAATACTCGGGACACTGATGCCCCTGTCTAATTCTTTCGGCAAAATAATATGATCAGTCGGCAAATATAACGTTTTTGTTCAGACTTAAGGTAGCAGCGTCATCCAGCAGAGTGATGCAACAAAATGTTGACCCATATTCTGTTACTCACCATTCAACTCACATGATGGTGGCTAGAGGTTCTCTATGATTATCTACTACCCTCAGCATTAGGGGTCAAAGTGCTCTCGTAGTTCGTGAAAAGCACGTAGCTGATAAGCCCCGTTTTATGCGCTTCGAACTTTTGGCTTGCTCATAGGTTTTCCCCAGTTATCGAAATAAATTTCGATTGATGCTGACATATATGACCAACAAATCCGGTTCAGATGAACACTGATCGTGCTTCATAAGGTACTCTATCCCTATAAATCACGCCTCCAATAAAATCTCCGAGCGCAATATTTGGGGTTTCGTCGTACTTAGAAGCTTTACGTATTTGGCTGCTGACCCACACCGCAGGTTCCCCAGTGTAATAAAAACGTCTCTTCTCAGCTCCACTGACAGAACAGCTGCTCGGCTTTATTTAAGCAGCAAGTACGTACGGTCGTTACAGTAATATTTCCACTGCAGGTTCCGGGATCCTGAAGCGCAAAGACGATATTACGTGGGTTAGTTTAACTAGCACGGGAAATTGGAATCAACAGTCAGAAGCTGATGCATCAGCTTGATCAACCGTCCGAATCTAACCTGAACGATAGCTGATAATAAGTCATTTGTTCGTGTACATCCAATCAGTGTGCAGAGACAAACAAGTATGAGTTATAACACCAAGATTAGACTTTCCATGCATTTTCCGAACACCAGGTTGTTCAGGGTAAATATGGGAACCTGGCCAGGATTCGAAACTCAAGAAGATAGAGAACCAGAGAGCCTTCTACATACAAGGACAGTTTAGAATAAGGTAAATACACAATTCCCAATATGCCGTGTTGTCAACACCACTAAACGGGGTGATACAGATCTGGAAATGATCTTGAGCAATTTGCGCAACTCATCAAACATATTTGCGTGACGTTTGCGAATCCTTCTAGTCTTTTGAACACCAACTGCGAGGTGAAGATATGGGCTGTTCTCTTTAACTTCTCAGTTATGTATTTGTTCAGAATTTTCATACGCCTCCAGAAGATAATGAGTGTTCCATGGTTCTAAAAATTCAAGATGATCAGACAAACACTCACGGATAAAGTATGGATATCTTTCTGAGCTACAAATTGTTGGATCATTAACTAACTGACGCCTGTTGATGGAAGTAGCCTTCTCACCACTGATACCACCACATGCTTCTTTCCAAAGTAGAGGAGACAAAATGATGTGAAGTTTTTGCCATCAAGTTTGTCAGTCCCCTTAGAATTTGTTCTTTTATCATTTTAAGTATGAAGAATATATAACTATCTGCTTTTAGTTCATGTAATAAAAGCATTCTAGCTTATTTTTGAGACGCTCAAGATAACTTGACCTCCATTTCCCGATATCATAGCGCACGCTGATTCTTTGTGATAAACCTACACCATGATGGGTCACCAAACCAGGCTCACTGAGGCTTCTAAATCAATATAATTTATGGCAGATTATAGCAGTTCTAACTTTAAGCTGCACCAAATCGTAGCGGAACATCCATGAAACTTTGCACAGTTGATCAATATTGACATCTCACAAGGTTCTAAAAATAAAAAATAAAGCAAGTAACTTCAGCAACAGGGCGTGACGTACAACGTTTTTGCTCACAATCACATGTATCTCTATTTCTTCATGAGTTCAGTTGTGCGGCAAAGCTGACACCCAACGGCATATTGGTTCACAGAAGATGTGGCGTCTAGTTTCTGTCGTTTTACCTGATAGTCTCGCCAAAAGTAGTAGGCTTCATAAGGATCAGGCCAGCTTTTAATTCGAATAAATTTGTAGACATTGCATTATAGGAATGAATCGTGGTCAACTCTCCATCAGCAACCACGCGACAATTTTCTTCGCTAACTACCCTTTCGACATTCTGAGAGGTTTAAAGGAAGCAAGCTCCTTAAGATATACCAGCTTTATGACTTCAGTATAACTATAGATTGATTCCAGCAATCTGTTGAACCCCGTTGGGTTACGCGCAAAACCCCAAAGGCCAATTCTTTCAAATGGAGGTTTATCTACAAATGCGGTGCTATAAGTACAATAATAAAATGATAAAGCTTCACAAACCTCAAATCGTTGGACTATGCCGGCTTCTATACACCGGTTTAGGAGTTGCTAACTCTTAATGGGTCTCAAAGTCCACGCCGACTCGGAGCCACGTGTTTACAAGCTAGCGAAACCACGTGTGAACTTAAACGACACGTCCGATGACAAGGTCCATTATAGGAATGAATCGTGGTCAACTCTCCATCAGCAACCACGCGACAATTTTCTTCGCTAACTACCCTTTCGACATTCTGAGAGGTTTAAAGGCAGCAAGCTCCTTAAGATATACCAGCTTTATGACTTCAGTATAACCATAGATTGATTCCAGCAATCTGTTGAACCCCGTTGGGTTACGCGCAAAACCCCAAAGGCCAATTCTTTCAAATGGAGGTTTATCTACAAATGCGGTGCTATAAGTACAATAATAAAATGATAAAGCTTCACAAACCTCAAATCGTTGGACTATGCCGGCTTCTATACACCGGTTTAGGAGTTGCTAACTCTTAATGGGTCTCAAAGTCCACGCCGACTAGGAGCTACGTGTTTACAAGCTAGCGAGACCACGTGTGAACTTAAACAACACGTTCGACGACAAGGTCAAAGAACGGTTTATGTTCAGGTCGAAAACAACAAGGGTCGTATAGGTACAGACCAAAATAGCAAAAAAGGGATAATCGCGTTGTACAATATAAAAAATAGAAGAGAGGAATCAACAAAAACCTTGCTTAGTAACAACCTTTCTTATTGTCCATTTGAACGCAGTGTCTGCATTCCTTGGCTATCTTGAACCAGACGGTTTCACATAAGTGCGTAGATATGAATATAGTTTGGATATTTGTATATTTGATATATATGTATATATATATATATATGATGTATATGACATATGACCTGAAAATATGGATAAAGTTTACTGAATTGCAAATGCATAATGCAAACGTCCTCCCAACGTCGGATAGAAGTGATTGTACGTTAGATAAGGAATATCCTTTTTCGTTACAGAACACAAAATAATCTACGGACTGCATCCTTTATATGCTACTCGTGGCAATGCTGTAGATTTTCTTAACAACCAAAGGACTTCGCCCACAATCAACCTGTGATAATAATGGAACAAAGCCGCGAAACCGGACCGTCACACATATCCATTTAGTTTCTTTCAAGCAAAGATGAACAGAGCCGTAGGTTTATTCTACTGGAAGTTTATGAGCGAAAATCAGAAAATTTTAACGGGCTGCAACCATCGTTTTCAAAACCGCACTAACATCACCGCATCTATAGCAACGTTGTAGAAAACAGACGCGGAAGACCCTCCTTCTATTATGGCGCTTCCAACCTTATTTCCACCATTTGTTTGTATGAAGAGCATCAGAAAAAGATTCTTCACATTAGAACACATTCCACCAACCGATTTGAAATGGTTAATCTGGTCATTTTCTGCTCCCCATAACGTCAAAATGGCGTCGACGCTGCATTCCAAAGAAGTGATTGCGGTTGAGGATTTGCTCAAAGGCTGGCATACGTGATTATCAACCTTCCATTTTGATTGCGTATGAATTTTATGCTTGTGCCCCGAATCCACTGGTTCCAACAACTTTGCATTTTGTTTCAGCCGGAGTTGTCGCAACAGGCACCCTTGCTCATGCTGAGATTTCCTGAAAAATAAAGACGCAAAATAGACGCCCGACAATTATGGCATAAACCATCCTAAACAACTTAACCAAATCATTACAATTCTCTGAACTCCTGATGCCAGCTATGTATCGTTGTGAAGTAGTATACCCACAAGTGAACCCTGGATCAACTCCCCGAATATCCGACCCGCACTTACTTTGTCTTCCGAACTACCCACGACGCGGTTTCTCCAAATGATTGAGTTCCAGCAAAATCATGGTGTATCTTACTCTAGTGTGACGGTTTGTGTGCCTTCGTGACTCACTGAGCTATATTGGGTTTTTTCCTCCCGACAATCACAGAGTCCCTTATACTTGTCTGGTCAGGCCACCGTGATCCTGGTATTGTCTACCTTTATGCTTTTGAGCTGAATCTACTTGGCATGGACTGAACCTATCGCTTGAATCTTTCAACACTATCGATAGAAAACTTATGTTCATCAATACTAACAGGATAGAAGCAAAAGTTCAGGCCTGGAAACCCTGTTCTTGCGAGGGAACATCGCCCCGGGCACCGCAATATAATTGGTCGGGTAGTTTACAGCTTCAGGTGGGATCATTGATCTGGAAGCGGCATGTCAATCAGTTACGGCTGAAGGAGTGCCCTGTCTCGAAAGCGGAAAATTTACTAGAACTCAATCTTCTGCTTAAAATCTTTTATCTCCCAAGATCAGCACCAATAACCACCGTTTCACAGACCAATCCATTGCCGCAACAAAGACGCCGTACTGGTTGAGCCAGAGGACTGGTGAAACCACTTCAACTTGACCCACTCCCACAATCTTTCGCTAAACGGCCGAATCCGGGAAGTATAAGAAACACCCAATTCCTGGAAGTAATCCAAGAATGGACGCCGGACGGTTGAGCCAGAGGACTGGTGAAACCACTTCAACTTGACCCAATCCCACAATCTTTCGCTAAACGGCCGAATCCGGGAAGTATAAGAAACACCCAATTCCTGAAAGTAATCCAAGAATGTCCGAAACCTACTGAGACCCTAAAACTCCACCAAACTCTCAATATCGAAGCCCGAAATCAGCCAGGGCAGTCGATAATTGAATCACTTCATCGAAAGCCGCTGAGTATTCAGACAAGCCAAAGAAGCACTACATGACGTGATTAGCGTTCACAAATACCACAAACACATGATCGTTGTTGATTATGCTTACTAAACGCTTTTCAGAGACCCAGGATCAACGTCTAAAGGTGCCCTTTAAATGGCACGGGGTCGTTGTGACTTCTGCACTCTCATGCACCCGCTCAGTGCAATAACAGGTGTGTACCTGGTCTGTGAGTTCTTTACCTGACACTACGTACTGTCTAGAACTTTAAACAAATATTCCTCATATTGCAACATAAATTTATCACGTCTTTTGTTTTGTTTTTCGAAGCATACCGCAATTAAACTCTCAATAATTGGGTATTCGGCAGCATGCTCAAGTGTGTTCTTGCGTGCTAGCAAAACGCTATGGACACTCTTGGACTTATCAACGAATACTCCTTCATTGAAAGGGTATTATTTTTTTCGTTGATTTCGGTTCATTTATCGTCAAGCCTACGAAGTTGGTCTGTGGTGGAACGCAGTGACGACGAAATACACAGAACTTTTATTGGACTACGAATTTCGTCCCTAACGACGGTCTAGCGTGATTTTGTTGTTTTCTTCCAAGAGAACGGAGAATGATGCTTAGATTTTGTCCGGTTTTTTTAACATATTGAGGCGGATTTTTTAAGAATCTAATGGGTTGCAAACAATTAAATGAAAAACATACACCTAATCTTTTAAAGTCCCATAAACCGTTGGAGCAGTGGCTTCGTTACATGGAATTTCACGCTGTCTATTACGGAAATATGAAACTGTGATTGCTCAAAAGCAGCTAACTTTGTCAAACTGACCAAACTGGCATGGGTCAAAATATAATCATTTTAAACAAAATTCACGTGTTTTTTATGTTTGGCGCTCATTTATTACCCTCCATTCATAAGGCTGGCCAAACATATGTACGTTAAATAAACTCTACAGTTTGAGTACGAATGGGAGTACTGGAAATTCTGGACTCTTGGTGGTACATTGCCCGTACACAAATCTACACAACTAATTGCTGAATTGGTGTGCGCCTGCTGAGGAGAGTACACAGGACAATTGTGCCCAGAACGTCAAGTAGATGTAAACGATGCGACAACTAAAAATGGGGGAACTATTCTAACTTATACATGAGTACACAACTAGGCACCTATTGGACTAGGAGGTTAGAAGAAGATGCGTATACGTTTAGGCTAAGCATGTCAGAACAGCTTTTTTCATATTTCTGTGACAACAACCAAGCTAGTTGCCAAGGCTAGCCAAGCCAGGTTTCCCAACCACATACCATAATGCTGTTTGTGTAGTAATGATCCAAAATCTAATGTTTCACAAATCGTAGGGTTATGGAATGTTGTGACGTAAAGTAAGACGCCTCTGTTACAAAGGTTTATCATAGAGTACAAATGGTCAGGCAACCATGGCTTGCAGTCTACCAAACACGTCGTTTGTGTAGTGTTGTTCAGCTAGAGTTCACAGCATATGGTATTGGAGTAGTTCAGTTTTACTGCGAGGTCTAACTGCGAGTAACAAAAATTCCTCGTTCAAAAAGCATTAGGGTTGTACGAGGCCAGCATCTGATTAAGGGAGCGGAAACTAATGAACAAATTGTTTTCCAAGAATTTCATTTTTCCACAATAAGTTCCATATGCCTCCGCTTAGTTGAGCCCTAATTTCCTCATCTTCGTTAATATTCTGACGTGCATTATGTAGTGCTTGGTGCATTCCGAAGGCCGTGAAGTACCATCTACCCAAAACCTATAAATAGGAAAGCTATTGTTACAAGAAGAATATTTCCAATATTAACCAGAATCTCTGCTTTCCCGAAACTGTACATGGGGATATATTGTCTCGTTTGGAAGGAAGGATTAGATTAGACGAAAGAAAACATTAGTGGAGCGCAGCGCTCTACTAAATGGACTTATAAAGTTCCACTCTCATTACTCACAGCGTGGTATGGTAATATTAGTATTAATAACTATTCAGCTTTTACATGGTTCTAGTGCCCTGCTTGCACCAAAACCTAAATGTTTCAGTACTGCCAGGTTATTCAAGCCCGGGCAAAAGCATCCAATCGATGCTTTTGGTTTGAAACCAAGAGCCCCAAAGAATCTAGCTCAACCGGTGAGCTATATCTAGTTCATTGTGGTGGTATAATATATCATTAGTATGAAATTAGGATATCTCTGGTAAATTAATCCCAACCCTTCCCACGAATAAGTTATTTCAACGCTAAAATATCTGAATAAGTTATAAGCACTGGTGTTACAATGGTGTTATATTGCCGAACATAAGGGTGAGAGCATACTTATGCGTTCAAAATATTGGGCATTTGTCAATATTGATGAATTCATCGGGTAAACGCTCTTTTCTGGCGTACATAGAGTGATTACTTGGTAACCACAAGCCATGTGCTGAGAGCAGCAATCCACCCACTGAGCCACGGTAGAAATCCAGTTGCTGTGATGTAAAGAGGGGTAAAATGTTCGTAAAGTTACGTGTGATGATGTTGTACCTCAAATGGCGACAAATGAAAGAGAGGCGTTTTCGCAAAACCATAGTAATAATAGTGCGGGTGACTGTTTTCCGACGAGCTGTTCACTTATGTTTTTTATGTCTGCTATAAATAAGTTTTGCCTTTCGGGTATTGTGAACTCGTAACAAATCTGCCCAAGTACATAACTCCACATTTATTATTTTTCTGAATTTATCCGGCTTTTACGTGGTGACCCTTAGGTAACTGCACTGTACTTACTACGCTATGCAATAGCGGTCGCAGTCTAACCGGCACAGTAACCGAAGCCGTTTCGCAACAAAAATTTACAGATTTTGCTGGTGGCGAAGGTCGGATTATCGGTTACGTGGGACTGGCACAGCCAGTTCGTAAACCGTCCTCAAAATTAAACCCACGCTCATATTTGTGTAACTTTTATACACAAAAATAATCGTTTTATTCATGGCAGCCCATTCTTTCAGCCGCTGTCTCCACAGTGTCCTTTACACACCACTTGCGGTTGTTAACTTTTTTGTAATCGTTCATCGAGTAAACAGTGCCTTAATATTTCTTCACATAAGAAGTGAATGGTATTAATTGAGAACAGAATGCGCTACTCACCACTGCTCCTAGTTGTGGTTTTTACAGTTGTTATTGCGGTTGCTGTTGTAACAACGAAAGGAAATGTGCATGATGGGTACAAAAGATAATGAAATAAGTAAGAGACCCACTGACAAAATTAGAAATGCTGATGTCATATTAAAGAAATTCTGATGGGAGGTTCGTTCGTGGTCTGAAGCACGATAAGACATCCAAACTCCAGCGAAAAATGGGTCCCTGAGATTTTCTTTTACCGACTGTCTGGTACACCAAAGACCGTGTTTGCGCGTATACACACTCAGCGATATACTTAGATTACCATCTCAACAAATTATTTGAACTTCAATAATGAACAGGTGCTACAACCAAGGCATATCATCATCAACTCCGAAAATCCCGAGATCATTGATTATGACTAATGCATATCTGCAGTAAATACTAATTCATTTTGAATGTTATCGCAGACAGGATATTCAAAATGGATAGAAAGCTGTCCAACTCCGTGACAACCACAATGATTTATCCACATCTCCGGACAGTCCCTTGAAATGTCCGAATGGCGACATAAACAGGAACGAAGGTAACTTCATCACATTCCTAAAACTCGTAATGAAAAATCACGCGGACGGGACCCATGAATGTTGGCAGAAATGACCGTGGACGGAACTCCCATAGTCACTTTTGCACATCGTGGTCCGATCAAACCTAGTGGCCGGTCAGATTTCCCTTCATTTACCTTTCGCTCCCTGCCTCATACTTCATTTGTTCTACCTTCCTTATGATTGTTATAGATCGCAATTTATTCTGGTCATCTTCAAGATAACCAACCGTTTCCCAGCATTCTAAGTGTGCAAAATGTTGGGGACACGAAACGACAATATGCCGTTGGTTACTGGTTCTTTTAGGCGCAACTGTCACGAAGATAACTCATCAGCTGGAATGATTGATTGAAAATTCCCCTCATTGCGTACCACCGGTAACCTCATGTTGCCATCAGAAAATCTTGTCCTCATAAAAATGGAAACGAGTTGACCCCTAATATCCCGAGTATCTAAGGAAATCTAAATTATCCATTCTGAAACTAAGCGCAGTTGCGCTGGCATTTTGGTGAGAAAGCACACTGAATATTGCTGAGAACTAACGAGCTTTACATATTTGAGTTCTAGTGCATATTTAAAAATATTGTCTATGCATACAGTTAAATCTTAACCATAAATTCGACGTGCGCATCAGACACTGAATAAAAACACCTAGGTATGGACTCAATTTAATTTCCTTGATAAAAGAACTAAGAACCATCAGAACAAATAAACCCTGTTGAATTTTGTCTGTGATAAAATCCAACCAAGTTTAACTCTCATGGGGAAAATATAACCCGTTGTAAACAAAATGATAAAAACTGGTCGATGGATTTTATTCGTGGAGCGGGGCAGTTTGATGGCAAACGCTCCATCACCAATCGTGGTGACGTCGTCAGTGCGTTCTTGGAAAGCGTAGTGATGCGCAGCGATGGGTTGGTGGTTATGCGTTGAGTACTGTGGCGTGCTCCTCACCGAGGCTGACATTCGGTCACGGTAGGTGGGTCGGTCGGACGGTTCCATCAGTTACCGTGTTATTTCGCGTCCTGGTTTTTCGACACTAACGTGACTCCTGAGACTGGCATCCCCTGCTCTCGTAATCTGGTTAGTGTCGGAGTAGCCTGTGTTCTTGAACATTCCGAGTTCCGGCTCGTGACTTCGATTAATATGGTCTGAAGGCATTCCTTATTTCTTTGTCTGTGAATTCAATATTTGGTTCTCCTTGAGTATTCCGGTTAAGGTGTTGGTCCCTTGCACTTAGTGGTGCGTAAATTGGATCCAGCTCAATGCATCGGTTGATTAAATCCCCCGTGGATTACCAGGCTTCCAGAAATTCTCTTCTATGTCTCATTTCTCCATGTGCCAACAATTTTACGTTTTCCAGAATGGATTTGCAGCCTTCTTGCTCCTCGCGTATGAGTATTTGTGATAGGGAGTCATATCTTCTGACGGCCGCGTTGTGATCCTTTATTCATGTGCATAACTTCCTTTCGGTTTATATAGCATAGAATTTGTTTCAGTTGTTGCAAATGATCTGGTATATCACATGGTTTGATTTACGTTTTCCTTCGGTCTTGAGATTAGTATCTTACAGGGGATTCAGTTTGTGGGCCCCGAGGATTTCTTTTTGAGCTAATAATTTGGTGGCGAGTTTCAATATATTCTTGATGTACGGCAGAATTACCCGACTGGTGGCTTGTTTTTGCCTTTGCTGTTGTTGAGACGTCTTTTTTGAGCTTCTGTTGATAAAATTCCTTGTAATTCTATTGTTTTGGAATGCTCTGTATATATGGTTTTCTTCCTTTTCCCGTAATTCTGTGGTGCTGCAGTTTGTCTTCTCTCTCTTGAACGGACTTGGACGCAACTCTTCTTGTGGTTTATTGGATAATTACTGTTGTATTTGGGTATTTGATTCGTTTGTCTCTTTCCGGTATGCGCAGGTTTCCAGGGTCCCGTTCACCTTTTTGTTCACTAAAAAGTCCAATAATGGTAGTCGGTTGTCTCTCTCCAGTTCGATCGTAAACTTCCTATCCTCAAAATGGCTTCAAGCAGTCTATTCACATTTTGTACTGAATCTCCTTTCATGATGACAAAGGTGCCGTCTTAGTAACAAATGACAGCAGTATTTTGCCCTCTAATCTTTGCATTACCGCCTCAGCGATAAATCCTAATACTGGAGATCCAACTGGAGTCCGTTTTAGCTGTTGATGTGTTCGTGTATTTGAAGGTAAAGGATATATACATACAAAAGTCCTATAGCTTTGTTAGACCCTCGGATTTCATGGCTTCAGTTGGATTATTTTGAAGTTGCTCTGCCATGGTTTCCTGGGCGGGGTTGTATTTAACTGAATTGAACAGGGATGTCATATCAGATGAAAGCATGATTTTTTGTCGTCTTCGATACTGACGTTTCGCAGTTTGCGTAGAAATTAACCAGCATTTTTCATTGTATGCTCCGATCCTTTTGCAATCCTTTCGCCACTTTATAAGATGGAGTTCTTGGAAGTGCAACGATACTTCGCAGTGGAGTTCCTTCTTTGTGTCCCTCTGGTAATCCGTAGAATTGTGCAGTGTTAGTGTTATCGGCTTTCATCCTCCACCGTTCCTGCCTGGTTATCTCATGCGCCGCTTGCAGTTTCTTGAGCGCTGTGTTGATCTCATTGATGTTTGGAGTTTGATCATGATCAATTGACTTGTATATCGTAGTGTCATTTAGTAGTTGTTTGGCCTTTTCAATGTAATCTGGCACTTGCAACCCTTTATGAAACCAGCACATCATTTTGTCCATAATCCCGCTCATAAAACTCGCCCTTCAACGCTTTTAGCGCACCAAATTACAAGGCCGAAATAACAGATTAGTTGTTTTCTAGAAATTATTCACAAAGGATATCTATCAGTTTACCACACAATATCCTTAGTAGGGTCACATGCACATTATTCCAGAGTTGTACCATGCTTCTTCAGTTTGATTCGTAACCGCGCTCGCAGCATGTTAGACTAAGCAATGCATAGAACGCCTGAACTAACATTTTCCAAAACCGCCTTAAGTAGCCTGATTATCAAGCCGTACATTTCGGTCTACCTCACAATCATGACCCGAACCACCTTCAATAAACAGCGTGAGATTATTTGCATTTTCAAATGTGAACAGTGTGAAAATGCCCCTTTTCTGTAGAAATTAGTCACATCATGCTGGTTTAAAAATAAACCAAGTTCATCTCACTGTTCAACTGATCAGTCAAGCCTTGACCTGTTTGAATATTGAGGTTACCATGTACGCACACTTTACATGAATTTGTGCAAAACAGCTTGTGAGATAGCTGTTTTGCCTATGCGTGCTTCTGGCTGAAGTAAAGTAGCAGTTGAATAAGATGGTGGAATGATTTTACAATTTGTGCCCTAATTTGTTTGTATCGACCTGGATTTAAACTGAAGACATCATGGGATACAATCGTCTATCCCATTATTTTGTGCCTGAGCGAGATTTACATTGAATTCATCATTTGCGACGCTCCTCTTCAAAATATACGATGTTTGGTTGGCTTTTTCGCCTCCATGCTTTGTGTAGTATACACAAGTAAAATTTCACTTTTCCACCTGTTTTTTAAGTTCCTACGTGGATCACGTGTTTTGGTTACGACCATCGAGGAACATGTAAGGCATTTAGCCTGCATAGCAAGCACTTTCTGTGTCTGAACCCTCTATTCAAGAATTACCGCCAAACGACCAATCTCTTTTTTTAGTTTTTTTTACTTTGTTATTGCGCGATAAAACCTGTCCCCAATCACTGCAAAATATTAATTTCCATAACATCTACTGATTCCTTTTCTAACCATTAACAACCACAGCGGCAAGCAACCTATGTTGAATATCGCGCCGGATGAAACGTAAGACAATACGTGCAATACGCCCAGTGTGGTCAAAAAATCCTAAACGAGAGAGATAGCAAATTCAGCTGAATGCGCCATCGGAACCAGATTGGTGTGCAAGCGACTGTATTCAGCGGATATCCTGCGGGAATAAGCACATCTGAATCGCCCCGATGACTGTAGAACCGGCCTCCTGTTGCTGAAGTGCTATCTGCAAACTTGACAGCTGCGTCGCGTAGCCAGACAAAATGCCAGAGAGAAGGAATCAGCAGTTGACGACCCCAAATTTAGAAAAGTATTTTGAAGTACGGAGCAAAAATGTCAGGGTGTTTTCAATTTCCGAAGTTGAAATGGAGAGTCAATCATTTGTAAAATATTTTTAGCGACTTATGCTTGCCCTCAAAAACAAAACATCAATGTTAAAATGCAAAAGTTGTCCAAGTTGTGGTTGTTTGCACAGCATGTCATGTTTCACATTTAGGAAGCAAACAAAAAAGCTGTTTCAGAAAGTGCGTTTGCAAAACTCTCGTCGCTTTTGAAACTATGAAAACACTGATAAAATAGTTGGGTCACTCACTTCTGTCCCCAAATTCCATTTTTTTGACTGTACGCGTTATGCAAAGATGGTTTTATTACTTGGTATGAAATGGTAGTAAACCAAGCTGAATTTAAGAGATGAACTTTTAAACAGATGTTATCTAACTTCTAAAAGGTCGGCACACTGAACAATTTATTTTCAGTACTGATAAGTTGTTCCCCTCACCTCACAAACGTCATGTTTATTCTCAAAGGCAGAGGCTTTCAGCAACAAAATTCCCGGACCACCCACTTGACAGGAGTGGAAGTACTTTATGTTTCGGAGTTTGGATCATCCAAGTTAGACGGACTGCACAAACTATTTTGATGGGGAAAGCTGGGGTTTTGGGCTTCATTATTTTACTTCGCCTTGCTAACAGGCAGTATGCCTGCGGTAAATCATGCATTCTGCACGTGACAGGTGATTTTAGAATGGAAAAAATTTCCCACTCAATAAAGTATATCTAATAGTATTGCCCAACAACGCTTCATCCCACTGTACTATTACCAGCATCAGATTACTAACAAAAGCGTAGAAGAGCACCCCAAGGGTTGTTACATTGTTTGACAATGTACCCTGACAGAGAAATAAGCAAATGTGGCTCCTTCTTGTGAGTTTGCTCGCAGGTCCAAGGAACAACTGAAAAGGTCATCTGAAACAGTTGAGGCAGGTGGATCTCGTCTACTACTCCTTCTTCATGGAGAAGCCTCAAGTGGGACCCTTTTTGTTCACATCTAGTCGTGTGTCAATGAGGTCAATCTCGGTTACCATCTTGCTGAAGAATACATCCGTTTAGGCAATGCAGATCAACACATCTTTAATGTAATTCCGTTTTCTGTCTTTTATGCCATCGCTCAATCGTTTTCATTTCCGCAAATTAGGCACTGTACAAAGTGGCTTTACTGACTGGAAGCTAGGAGGTTCTATTGCAGACCGTTGCTGCAACACGTATTCTCCGTGCTCTGTACATACATCCACGAGTGATAAAGCAATGTGCATTTTTTGCTGCAAACATCGCATTTGAAGTTTACTGAAAACCCAGGATGATCATCGACGTTTTCTGTACCGGATGACATTTCTTGAAAGCATAATTATGGCTTTAGATTCAGCGAAGAACGGACGGTAAATGGTATTCGAAAATTTGCATCAATCCAGCAAAATGTTTTGTTTTATTCAGTTTCGTCACCTGGTGCTAGACAGGTGGGCAGTCATAATCTCCCGGCTTTTTCGGTAGTAACATTGGATACACGCTAGTCAAAGCCACAAGCTCACTAGAAACCGAACCATCCGGTTCTCTTTACACACTTTGTTGTAGAGCTTTGATATGTGCACTTGATTTTCTTATTAGACGTTTAAATACAAACCACCGAAGGCAGAATTTCGGAATGGAATCGTCGATACTTATGGCGCAACACAGAATTATCTATTAATGATAATATCACGGAAGCAGACCACACCAAGCCCGAAAATTGACATTCTTTAACTTGCTCGAAATGGTAACGCATCGATGAAGCTTTTCGCTCAGCAGCTATCGCGCGTTATGGTTACAGGATGCAGTATACAAAATTACTTAAAGAGTCGGGAAAAGGAAATATATGTTCTGTAAAGTAATTAAGTATTATTAAGCGGATGATTAGCGGCCATAATTTTTACCACTTTTCCTAAGAACCGCCTATTATTTTCCTCAAAGCCCCAAGCGCTTCTCATCATCAGTTTATTGGCCACGCTATATGTTTGCTGTTTGATGAATCGTTCATTCAAAATAGAATTTCAGCGTTACGCTTTATCAAATATTTTATTCTGCTAAATAATGTACCATGATTAGCAAGTGTTCAGTGACACAGCTGAAGATAACTGCCTCTGACATACCCAGCATGTTCATTCTTACTGAGTCACTCATTTCTGTTAAACTCATTTATTGAAGAACCAAAGCGAACTATGCTACAGAAATCGGGCTGGAGGGCCAAGGAACTGACTTGGGTTCCCCATCTAATACTCCAACGTAAACTTTGTTCTAATATTTGCTTTTTTTCAAATTTCTGTGCACAAACATCTGAGTTTTCTGTTTTTCCAAGACTTTCTAATACTCCATGAACAGTTTGATGGACACAGCCAATCCACAGTTTTTACCGAAGCAAAAAGTAGTGTTTATAATCCAAAAGCCTTCAACCTGGCCCACACACAACTACTACATTTCTTTGAATTTGCAGCGAGGCAACGTCTTTGGAAACCTTAAATGACTAATGCACAACATCAAGGTGCACCCCCAAATGTTTGTTATGTTAGGTTTAAAACTGGAAGTCTATCTTGCAGCCCTATAGATTTGCTGATCTAGCAACCAAACTTTCATGAACTTTCCAACAGAGCATCAACATGTGTTACCCTAAAAACAAGCCGTATTTTTCGGACGTTAGCCGTGGGGCCAACTCCATCCATTAACGTTAAATAGGAAAGTGTATTATGTGCTTTGCAAAATATACGCACTCTTCTTGAGCTGTTGATTTCTGTAGGATACTGTTTCATCGCAGATATTTTATTTCAGTGTTGTAAAAATATCTCTATCCTCCTGAAATTTAATTAGCCAAGTTCATCTGGATTCATATTCAACAGGTGCTCCATGTGCTTTTGAGGAAATTATACTTTGGATGGTTTACCGAAAACAACAGTCCAATTTACTTATTCCCCATTTATAAGAACAGTTAGGAGCTTATTCATCAACTTGTTCAGTCAGAGCTGAGTCTTACATGTGTGACGCCACTAGACTTGACCCACGGATAATGTCCTTGCACTCTATAGAATGGTATATATCTGACAATATATCCGTAACAACTGATGTTATGTTCTGAGAGAATAGTTTACATTAAAACGTGATTAATTGGAACGTCAACAATGACAGCAACAGGAAGTTTGATTAAACGCTGTCATCCAACGATCAATGTGAACAACAAATGTCGTGGTAATAATGAGATATTGGATGGGTTATCTTTAATGCGCGTCATTTAATAGGTCCCGTAAAATGCAATAATTTGTGTCCAAATGCATTTTCGCACAAGGTAAAGACATCAAAATCAAAAATCGCGTTATAACGTACCTTTTTCCCAACATGTCACCACTAAATTGTTTGATGAAAACAAAATTACTTTACGTAGAACGCGACAAGGGCTCAAAACCACCATTTGAAAATTTGTTCAACATACTGACCCTATTGGATTTTGAGAGAAAGCACTCAGAAATGATATGTCTTCAACGAAAGCCTCAGTTTTCGGTGACATCGAAGTATAAAAGCCCGAGAGGTCATTAGCCATTAAGTTCATGTGCTACATCTGGCGAATTACTACTTACCTCTTTCCGTACAAGTATTTGAATCTGGTTCTTCAAAATAACAGAATGAACTTAATTTCCTTTCTGCGACATTTCATATTCTAAATAGTTCTCAATTAAGGTAAGTTTGCCTGGTAGTGCTCTATAAATCTATAATATGTTGCTTCAAGAAATACCGGTTTCTTTTTCTGAGGATAATTCCTGGTCAATTGAACGAATGATTTAAGCAAATATCTTTAAAGGTGAAGGCCGATAGTCATGCGTATGTCTTAAACTAAGCTTCCATAAGTTTTGATCAAGTAACTTATACCATTACACACGAAACAGCTGATGGCACACACCTTCCCGTTACATGTAACGTTCAGCTACAAGTTCAAATCGCTCAAGTATGCTGTCGCCAAGAGTTTTCAGGAGTTTTGTTGAGTAATCTACTCTCCTTGTACACAAGGAGGGTACCTGTAGAAAGTCTTACCCGTCACATTGCAGCTTTTCACTTGGGTATAGTTGGAAGAAAAAAGGTGCGAGAAGTAGATTCAACTATACAATGAACCAGCAGTATCTTTGTTTTATAGCCAACATTTTTCTGGCTGCAATATCAGATGCAAATACATCAGCGCATGTCTACTGATATTGCTTGTGATATTTTATGGAAAGTTATGCTTACCTTTTTCTATACATTCATCGGCTATATTTTTGGAAAATAATCAGTACTATTCAGCGAATGTGGGAAAAATTGTTTGCACCATTTTGAGTCATTTTAATTCTCAATAGAACGACTGAGAAAACTTATCAGAATGGGCTTGACGTTACAGTTTTGTTGTTACCACACTGAAAGCCTTATATTATGTCAACTGGAACCGTTTACTCAAAACTATGGCGCCGTTCCACTAAGTGTTAACGTATTCACTATGTGACTCTTCTAAGCCAAGCAACCCAACGAAGTGAAAATGTATTAACGCAGCACCTAAAAGTGTGCCGCTTATGAGAACAGACCCGCAATTGTAACAAGCATCTGCATTTCACGTTGAATGCTATAATCTAGCTATCCCCGCAGGATGTTTTCGGTTTATTTATGAAAATAAGAAATCAGTAGTTAAGCTGAAAATATTGTTTAGATTATGGTTATTTTGTGCAAAATATCCCCAGCATACTTTCATAACCACTAAGATTGTACCAAACGACAGCATGTGAACACAGCACCATAGATAATAATCTGCCAGTGTATGATTGCTCAATGTTGCCCGAAATGGTGCGTAATCAGGTGTTTGTCCAAATATGTCGTTGTGCATGTTTTATTAATTTAATTTTGACCCCAAGTAATGAAGACAGACTACAATGTTCGCAAATTGCAGGAGTGGGTTGACGTTCCAAAAAGTAGGCCAACATCTACCGTGTCCTCTATTTGATTGTAACACATTTTGTGTGAAAACATGCCCATCACCTAAGGCACGTCCCGTCACTGATATCAAAAGTCCTGATTTTTACTTGACTTATTCCACATGAAGTTTAAAACATTTGTACTCATCTAATCGCACAACAAATGACCTGGAACTCAGGTTTGCATCCGGCTAGCTTCATGTGCTTCGGGGAACTATTTTAAGATGGGCCTTTGTACTGTTTACGTAGCACGGTAAAACCAACGTCTCAAAAACTGTAAGAGACCGTGCCGATGAGGTTCAAATTATTTTCCAATAAACATTTCAAGGAGCAATACTTTGTTAAGTTCCGACGACACCAGGTAAAACATTAGCGTTTAAAAATCTTCCAAAAAGAAAGTTTACTGATGTTTTGCTTCATTCAACCAACATTGAAATTGAGATTGTTGGAGGTAATATTGTCAAACTTTCTGGCCCGAAGCAAGTTTTATTTTGGGAGAATCCCTTTAAAAAGCGTTTCTATGGCTTGACACTCAATTACCGCAATACAAACTTTAGGGTGTCACCCACTGTACAACGTTGTCTTCCTTCGCATGCTCGCCCACAGATACCTGCTAATTCAAAAACTGCTGGATGTCAATTTACCGGCCAGAGTTTACCAAATGCTAACTATTTGTGAGCTTATGCAAGTATAATCCGTTTTTAAACGTCTATCGAAAGCCAACACGCAATTGGCCTGGTGGCAAGTTCAGTTTAGGACACGAACTGCGAGTACATGATGCTGAGCTTTCAATGATATCATTTTTAGTTTCATTGAAGTTAATCTTAAAGGTAAGTCGACTTTTCAGTCTGTGAAATTCTCAGCTGGATATGATCAGACGCTTCTAGAATGCACTATGTTTATGTGTGGCGCCTATATACGTTTTTATTAAAACTTACACAACTGCCCGCAGTTAGCGACTTTAATGAGACCGACGGCAAAAGCAAAGTGCCCGTTGGCCTTCCATTTATTACAAGTTAACATCACTTCACCAAGTGTGACAATGACAATAGGCAAAGAACAAACTTTTGTGTTTCACAGTTTACATATAAGTGGTGCAATAGCATCAAGCAAAATTAACGTACTTCCTGTGTTTGCACACCAAATTTGATCAATTTTTGTCAGACATCTCATCAGATGTGCATGACGTTAGCATTTTACTCAGAAAAGTTAAATTTTACTTATATTTTATCGATAAAGCTTGAAAAAGAATTCAGAAATCGGATATCTTATGCAACGCCAATTTACCCGTGCACACATGGACGACGGCAACTACAAATGTAGCACAAAATATCATGCGTCACCATTTGGATTTCATATCATATTTATACGCGAAAACGGTGTCTGCCGTAGGCTCACAAAATTCACAGAACCTTTCTAGGTAAATGTAAGTGGTGTGGGTGTCCGAAAGCGCAAATCTCACTGCACTTGTTATCGGTCCTAATTACCAAACGTTTCCCACCTTGCGTAACGTGTTTGAATGTTTGACGATATGGTTTTATCTGAGACTTTAAAGAATGTGTGCCAATTCTGTTTTACTCATTCATACGTCTTTCACTGGACATAAAAACTCACTTAATATAGGACATGGATAAGCACCGTCGCCTTTAAAAGACAAAAAATGTGACTAGATCAGCAGCATAATGCGTACAGATAAATAGTAATCACATTGTTTCGGTATTATTTTCTGTTGTATACTCTACATGATGTTAAGTATTTATAACTCATCATGCAATAAACACAAAAAAGTGACTGGTTAAACCGTGTATCTTCTACGTTGCAGCACTAAAAAGTCTGTACCTGAGAAGACCAAGTCGCATACATGCTATCTGGAACGGAAGTGCAATTTCGTGGATAGTTTGCAAAGAATAAAACATTTCTGTTTTAAAGTATTTGTCAGGCAACTTGTATTTCATTGCGTAGAAATACATCACGATATGTGAGCACAGAATGATACCTGAATTTTGATCCTTGCATTGACATTCCGAACCCAGACCACTTTAAAAAATATTTAGCATATAATCAACAAGTTCAGTACTTTTCGGTTACGTAGTAGGTACTTGAAGATTCATTTTTTTGCTTGCGGAGATAATTTGTGAACCTGCCGGAGAACATTTGCTTCATTTGTGTCCTCAACAGTATGAGTGGCCTTTTAAGTTATGTAGTCTTTTAACCTGAAGTTAGTGCTCAACATTCATCTTTAAAAGTTTTGTTTCAAACAAGCATCAGAAGCTAAACAATCTAAACAAATAGTGCCTTTGCTAATTAGTGTGGCATTCACAAAACGGAGGAACTTGCTGGTAACATCACAAATTTTTGGTTAAACGTTTCAAAAAGCACAAAGGTTAAACGAAGTGAGTATAACATTTTGTCTTACAACAAACGAGGTGGTCTTATTTTTCCTGTTATTGATGTAATGTGGTTTAACAAATTTTTTAAGCACCTAAATGCCCATTATCCAATTCAAGTAAACACTTCTGAAACAATTGTGCATTCCAAAATCGACATACCTGTAGGTTCTGTGAAGGAAAGAGTTAAAAATTAAATTAAATTGAGATAAGATGCCAATTAGAAATCGAAAAAGTGAACTACAATAACAAGCACTTGCACTATGTAAAGTGTGCTTGGAAGCGTACGTTTGCCCTAGAGGTTCTGAAATCTGTCAAAAAAATAAATTATCTTCCTGAGATAAGTTGAGTTGCTTGCAAAAAGTGCTTCAATAATTTATCGATGACCTACTTGCAACGGTCCAATAGAACATTACTCTAGTGTCCACTATGATGGCAGATCCTGTACAATTGCTAACTCTACACTTATCTTACTTCTGTAAGGATAAAGGAAATTGTATATCACGTCATATTATTCAACATCATATCATTGATGTCTTCAAAATTAACCTGCGCGCATTTAAAAATTTCCGGTGAGCCAGTTTGCATGCGTGAGTGCCTAAAGACCCAAACCACATACATTGTGTACTAGTCAATAGTGTTGCACATCCTTTTTACAGCAGACCAAAAATGTTCATTCAACATGCCTTCAGAGCACCCCATGTTCAGTAGGCTGAACAACTTGACCACAAATTGGGCTTACCTTTTCTTATGCACTCTTCAACTTAAACGGAAAAGGAAGGGGTTTTGAGAAGATACACATAACTGTAGAATAAGACATCGATATATTGCCTAAATTTTAATTTTCTTACACAAACCTTCTGAAAATAATAAACCTCTGTTATTTGGACAAGAGGAATGAACTTACATGCTATTTCGTTTGACGAGACATATTACAAAACAGATAAAGCTTCGACTGTAAAACGGGCCAATAAAAAAAGTTCTGTCCCAAAGAAATTTGCAGTGGAAAAGACAAAGTCAAGTTAGCACAGTGCTCGCAATTTCTGATTAATTGTAGCCACTGTGACATAACTGTAAACACTTCAAGATGCGACGTTTTAGGCCACTGCAGACAAAATTTATATAATCATGTCCATCACACCGGTGGACACCGGCGTTACAATTAATGCTGGTGGTCCACAGAACATCAAACATAATATTTTAGAAATACCTGTGAGTACAATTGCACACTGTAAGCAGAATCTCGTGTAGTCTAGCTAACTCCTCCGCAGGATGTGCGAAAATCATTTCTAATGTCCATCAGACCAAAAGATGGAAATAACGCCAGTAAACCCCACATAGTTTGAAAACAATTTTCGAGGGCACACATTCTGTTTACTTTATTTATCCCAAGGCCGAAATATAATTACAACTCACCATCTCTTTGGTTGGAAGAAGCTTGGTTTTTCAAACAGAAATAACAATATAAAATGAAGAGGAAATGAGTACTACAAACAAGCAGTGTTGCGAACCAAAGCAAACGTTCTGCAGCATATTATTAAAGCGCAAAACAAATTGCAATCCATTTATCCATTTAAGATCAACTCAGAAAACTCTTTCGTTTTAGGGAAACAATTCTGTTGTTTATGCTTATAACTACCGTGTTTAGTGTCAAAACCCTGACGTTGAGCTAGAAATCGCTCAGACTTTGAATCTGTCTAAACAATTGTGCCTTTTTGTGTCCATCGCAGACGTGAAACTAGAAGGCGCCGTTTAGTATGCACTTTTGCGAACCTCAGATTGACCGGCTGTAACCATAAGAGGATTCTGCTGAATACAGCGCTGCATGTTGGCCGAAATCTAAAACAGGCTTTCAGACATGGATCGCATGTCGATGAACTCATACATCGAACCAAGCACATTAACCACTTCCGTCATCTAATTTTTATAAAGCAAACGAGCCTAATTTTTCTTGTTGTTCTTTTAAAAAGCATCAAAATCATAGCGTTCGCCTGTCTCTTCTTGAATATAATAATTTTCTGTCATTCCTCAGGAATTTTGACACCTTTTTGTCGAATTGGTTTAAATCAGTCCATGATGATGCACTGCTGAATTGAACATTTGAGGCACTAAGCGTGATTTCCACTAACTTGTATAGAAAAGAGCAGTATTTCCATGAAATATTTCCCCCACATTATACTCTTGCATCTTGTCAAAGCGTCACCCTATGTAAAGCGAGAAGGCAACATCCAAACGTAGATCCTTCTCGCTACTGAACTCCACTTTAAATTTAGCTGTTTCGATTACTCCAACACACGTTTTAGTACGAGAAGGAGTAAATTAAATGACCACGGTTCACTAAGTTGCAAAAAAAGCACAATCCCGTAACGTTGTGATACTGAGGTTTCCATGGTATTTTTCTCCTAAAAGCTGCACAGCAATCGTTCTCACCTGCTTACATGACAAAGAAGGGGAGAATAAAGTGGATACCCTTAAGCGGTTGTCTCATGGTGATTACTGATAAACCAAAAGCTCCAACTAAGTCGGTATTTATTTATTTTGCTCCAGTTTGTCATATGTCTAGTTATCAAGCATGTATGCCTGAAACAGAGTGTCTCGCAAGCTGCTGGCTGGATGATTCACTTCTCAAGTGAAATGACAAGGACTAACGTCTCGGCATCACGTTCCCTGTAGCAGGAATAAGACGACACCGGATAAATTTTGCAACGTTTGAAGATGGGAATAGTGGATCACGCCACAGTACACACCAGCTGGGTAAAAAACGGAATTCTTTAACTCCGTGTTTGGGATATTCAGTACAAAAATTTTTCCTTGAATCGGACAGATGGTCTTAGTTGCTTCCGAAAGTGTTAAAAATGCATCCTAGCTCTAAATTTTATTTCAGAAAGGCTTTTTAAACCCACTCACAGTCCCCTTTGTAGGTAACTAGCACTTGATTTTTCTCCTTTTTACTGGTTTTTACTATACAACCCCTTGTAATTTTTTATATTTGTTTAAATTTGGCAAACAGATTAAATGCCATAAGAGCTCAACTTTGAACGTCTACTGCTACTCACACAATTTTCAAACCCGTGAACTCACTATTCTTATAACTCTTATCCTCTTGATATGATTGCGCAATGTTTGTACAATATCCAAGTTCAGTCTTGTAACCGTTCAGTTTGCAACAGATAAATTAGAAATATAACAAAACTGGTTTGAAAGCTGTACCACTCCGGAGAGGGAGAAAGCTATAGGTCTTGTATTACTTAAGTCACTATATGTAAAAGACGGAAAATAGTTTATTATATTTCATATACACAATCCGTAAGTTTATAGAGCTGTGGAAATACATGTGCCCCTCTCAATCATAAAATCAGATGAACCCAATGTTTTATCCCCGTTTTACAAAGTAGCCTTTACTCACTGGCCAGCACAGCAAAATGTACGTCAAATGTGTTAACCTACTCCATCCACACAAAGAAAAACTAACGGGAGAGATCCATTCACCTGTTTTTGTTTGTGCGATTCCTGGGGAGAAACAAAACGGCTGAACTCAGAGTAGCAACCGATGTACAACTTCGTCGTAAGTATTAACTGCGTAGTGGCGTTTTAGAGACGTACACTGCATCATTTACCAGACTCTTACTGTTACATCACTTTAATTACGTTAATAAACAATGATTTATTTTAAATCCTTGGAAAACATGTTTAAGAGAAATAACGTTTGCCGCGGTCTATTTTACAATTCAGTTTAATTTGAATGCTCTACAACGATGCGAAGGTTTTACAAATGCATCCAAAACAAGTTTTTCTGTTCATTCTTGTGGCTATCTGTAAACAAGTTTTGAACAGAGTGTAAACTGCAAGGTGTCCGGTCTGAAAGGGAAATATGTTCATGCTGTAAACCATACCAGATATTTTCTCGGGAAAAAGTAAAGCGCTTGTGCAAAAACCTGAAATGTAAACAAATGAACACAATACGTTTTTGCAAAATATTCAGCATTTTCCGACTGGTTGAAGTGATTGATCATTTTTCTGCCCATTTGAATATGATGTGCTATTTTATTACAAGATTAGCAAGTTACCCAGAGCGAAAACAGTAAGACTGTCCTTACTGGCTGTGAAAATCAATGGACGATGGTCAAATTGGATTTGCCGGTTAAGAGTGGACGAAGCATGGGAGGGTAAAGATTCCCCGGCTTAGGTTGGTCTCATAAACTGACGATCAAGCCAGTGGCTCATGTTGCCAATACTACCACAGCCCATGTGTTCATAATGCCGCGTAATTTTACCTATTTGAGGCTACGTTAGGACGTTTTGGAACCTAAAATTTACCTATCCATTGAAAAATTATGAGAAATGATGTGTCTGAAGCATCCTCTTGGTCGTGTGAATAGCTGTCTCGCAGTCCGTTTTACCAGGTGCCAGTCACGTTTGTGAAGTTCAATAAACAATAAACAAGCATCAGTGTGACAACAAGTAACTCGGTTAGCTTTTCAGCATTTCTAATATGTTGGCTAACTTATAGTTCTTAGTAGGCTTCAGGCCTGCACAGCTGCAAAAGTGGGAAAGCCGAGATGCGGTCTCAACCCAGGAAGTTTCCTTTTCAAAGCTGCACAAAAAGAATCACATATCTGACAACAAGACCCCACAATGTGACGCTCACAATCATATGTGAAAACGCTTACCACGTCCGTTACCCTTCTAAGATTTCATTTTCTGAACTGAGGAGCGCACCCTCAAATTGAGCTTGTCGTCATGCAGGAGCAACCTTTGTTCCCTTATTTCCTGTTTACGTTTCAAAAACTCATAAGTCCCAAAATGGCGAAAACTAGTCAAGGTTAATGATCGTGAGAACGCATGCTACACTCACCTGCATTTTCAAAGAAACTTTGAGGTCTACATAGCCTGAGATCACGGCCGTCGGTATATTTTACAACCACGATACTCAGCGTATTGGGTCCATGTGCCAGGTTTGTGTTTAATTTTAGGTTTCTCGAAGGGTGTGTATTCGACACATTTCAAGTATAGATAATAACCATGTTGTAGCAAATTTAGTGATCGTTCATGCCCTGGATCCGCTGTAGAAACTCCCTCAAGTTACTGGGTGTTATTACTACTTTTGATGAAGGTTAAACAAAGCCTGTTCTCTTAAACTATTCAGTATGAAAGAAGATGGGCCAGAAGCTCGTGACATTCCACGGATGAGGGTGCTTTAAACTACCAGAGTGTTTCGATTTCAGTGAAATACTCGGACCATTCCGCTATAGCCAATGTGCTGTAAAGGTCTGCAGAACTAAAGCAGAATTTTAATAGGTATTACACGTCTTATATGCAAGTTGATGTACTCTTTAGCGGAATAACTGGGACGCTAAAGAATTTTTTATGACTGCCATAACACTTTGCACGGTTGATCTTTGTGTTTCCAGGCGAACTGCCCGTTCTTCCACACACTCATTTTAGTTTGGCGTCCAGCCCCATCCCCCACAGGATGTCTGACGCCTGGCCTTTCGACATGCTACAATTTACCCTGTTGATTCCTCCAATAGTAAACAGTACCTCCGCGGCGATCCCAGCTTGGATGTGACATCGTTTCGAGTAGCACCAGTTTTCAACGTTAAAGTGCGGCTTTTTTAGGCAACTTTGGAATTTTCTCTGAAGGATAATTGTAAATCCCAAATGATTTGTCCGAAATCCTGTTTTCAAAATTGACTTTTGGTCACCTATTCGATCTTGTTAGGCGTTTCATCTGAAGTGGATTCTTGGCGAACACACAGGCAATGTGCTTTGCCTTACGTATGAATGCACAGTTCCATTAGTAAAGTTTGTCTTCAAAAATTAGGCAAAATCCTTCATCCCGTGGTTTAAGAGCATGGATATATATTTTAAAAAACGGATGTCTTTATTGGAGCCTTCCAGAGCAGTGTTAAGGTGATCCAAACGTCCAACTGATTTACTGACAGTCTGCAATTAACTGCCGGAGGCTGTTTACGTTTTGAGTACATTTTGTACACGTATAAAAGTAGGATTTTACATCTACGTCCGTTATTTTTTAACATGGTCTTATTGCTGTGTGTCGCAGTTGTTTACTAAGAATCCTAAATATCTCCCCATTTATAGTCCCGTTGTTTGAAAATCAACTTAACGCTGGTAATTCTACGCTTCTATTCAACTGCAAGTTTTTGTCAAGGTTATAGATATCAGTTAGATGGACTTCTGAAAACCCGTAATCTGGACGAATACAGCATTGATTCAGTTCAGGGGATACATTCCCTCTGGCTATCTATTATCCACAAATTTGGCTAGGCTTGGTCCATTTGACGACAAACATTTTTTCCAGCTAACGCTAGATTGTAGGTGCTTTCTAAAAAGAGATGACTAAAACCTCTAGACCACTTCTGGCAGTCATGCAAAAATCAGTGGCCAGAACAAAGGTTCAACCGATCGGCAACCTGCGGCAGCAAGCCCGAAAGTAACCACTGTGTACCCCAAAGCGTCAAATATAATGGACATCCTACCGCTGGAGAAACTTAGATCAACGGATGTTTCAAACATGTCTGCAAGATTGCACCGATTGCAACGGTACTTCCATTGGACAAACTAGAAAACAGCATGCATAGGAAATCAATAATGTTGGGATAAAAGCTCCACACTAAGCATGGGAACTTAATAATTAGGCTGTTTTCACCTGTCGAACCGAATTCGGAGTCCTGTCGGACTAAATGTGACAACCAACATTTCCTGCTATAAGCTTTCAAGGTCTATATTTATCAGTGGGTACTCAAATAGCAGCTTTGTACGTTAACATGTTTGAGGATTTTCGGTTATCTGTAGTCTTTTTCCGGCTGGTTCCGCCGTACGGTAGCGACTTCAGTAAGAATTCGGTTGCAAGATTAGAGGTCAGGCTTACACTCGGCCCAGTATAGACGTACAACAGTCTCACATACACCACAGCATACATAACAACATGCCAACATGTCACTGACTCGCTTAGCTGTAGATTTGTGATACTGGTAATTTTTTTCTCATAATAACCAGAACTGAAGGCTGTGAAATTTACTGTTTACGGCCAAAATACCTGTGCATTCATGACATTTTCCCCATGGGTTACAAAATATGTCGATTAAATTCACATACCTAACTCGACCCAGGCAAATATAGCACCTGCTATCTGGAGCACCAATAGCGGGTCCTTCGGTGTGCTTTGCAGATAAGCCAGGCTGATAAAAACCGCTCAATCTATTGTCTTTCAGTGTGTTGGTGATGAAGCCTAAATATAAACTGCAAGACTCAAAAGCCCGCTGAAATATGTCCCTCTTTCGTTGATCCCCGCGACAAACAAGAAAACCTGCATGTACAGTGGTGACACCAGTAACCAACCAGTGCTTTTCAGCCTTCAGAAAAATCAACAGCTGCACTGCTCCAAAAGCAAGCCTGATTATCCACTCTGAATGTGTCCATCCATAACGGAAACCGCAACATTGTCAGTGATAGGATGTGTTCTACCCCTTCCTATTAACCATAATAGCAAACAGGAAATTGAAAGAAGTAAATAGCTGTTGGCGAATATACACTCATTTGCAAACCAATTTGGTTTTTTTTCGAGAGACTCACCTGGAACCCAGCTGAATCTCTCGTTTATGATGTTCTCAGGCAAGTGAATGTGCTGCACCAGGACACCTCATGTTTCAGTCGCTACGATATTTGAAATATCGCGATACATGTATCTTTGTAATGCACTACTCATAAGGCTGCTGAAAATCCGTCGACGGATCTTCAGCAACCTTATGAGCAGTACATTAAAAAGATGTTGCACTGAAAATACTGCACTTATTGTAAATAGCATTTTTGCGATTTAACACACGTCTCAGCTCAACGACAATAGTTTTGTGAGAGTTGACGCGATTCAATTCCTTATGGTACTACAAGTTTCCAACGCAGAAATGTCATCTGTATCAGGCGCAGTTAAACGAAAACTGTCAACAGTAAGAAGTATACTGGTCCGTATCACACATAGGCACCACTCAACGCCCGTTAAACTCAATGGAGACGATTCTCTTGATTGCTTAGCGCCTCTGGCACGAAAGAGTTTGCATAGAAGTGAGATCTCAGCTCACTCATTTGTTCTCATTAGTAGTGAATTTATTGTCGACCGACTGTGTTTCATACTGTTGAGACTCGAGGCTTCGTTCTTCTTCAAAGGCCTTGTGAACCCCTTATATACTGATACTTTCAATATCGATGCTGTGCTGTGCTACAGCATATGCACAAATGAATGACAGTCATAGCGGATTGGGCATTCTCAGAATACTTGCGTTATTCCTCTCCGGTCAAGTAACTAAAAACAATATTAACATTTACTTGCTAGATATATAAATTCATTTGGTCAGTAAACTTTGGAAAAGATCACAGATCCTAAACCAGAATTAACAGGGTAAAACGCACCGAACCGACCTGAAAGTGGCAACACGTCTGATCGTTTGTGGTGATCATATTAGCCTCTCTGTTTTCCAATCGCACATCCATTCTCATTTATTTTCTTAGATGAATTTGTATGAATCCTTAGGATTATCCTTGCATGATAACAGGATTAAAAGTGGAGCTTTTGTTCGCTGGTTTTTTCAATCGATTACAAATGTTTCATCTCCAATCGCGGTGACATCAACAGTGAATTGTTAGGGAGCG